TGTTCTTCCTTTTTGGTTTTCTGATTCCAGATCTTTGCACATTTTGTTGTAATATTTGGCTTTATCTTCTCAAGTTGATCTTTGAAATTTTCTGTTCAGCTTTTGTGCCTCCTCATTCTTCCATTTGCTTTAGCACCTCTAGCATTTCCCCTAGCTCAATAAATGTTTCTAATGCTGTATCTATCTTATTTGATTTTTCCTGTAGCACTTTCTCAATTCCATTGTATAGTGTTTTGATAGATTTTATAATCATTTTTCTGAATTTCTTCTCAGGTATTTCCAAAACCTGCCCATCTTCCAGTATGGAGTGTAGGTCTACTTCAAGCTCATTTGCCTCAGTCACTTTATCTCATTTCTTGACATGTGCTGATATGGTCATCTGTTTCTTATTTTGGGGCATAATCAGGAGTTATCTGTGGCCTTAAAATTTGTGTGGGTGTTTATTTTGGTATTTTTTATACTTTCTGATTGCTTCTGGGTAGATGGGATCAGGAGATGGGCTTCCCTTTTCACTCTTCTTCCTGAGAAATTATGATGTAACTCAGGATTTAATTTTTGGTCTCTTTCCTTTTTAGTTTGCCTGTCTCGCTCCACAATCCCTGTTCAGGACTTTTTCCTAGTGATAAATAGTTCAGGGCTGGCTGTGGCCATTTTGCACTGCCATTTGGTTTTAAGTGGAAACTGTCACTTTAAATTTCAGGGAGATTTGTGCACATGCGTAGTAGAACCCTCGGGGTGGAGGTGGGGTGTCCACTTGCTCAGACACCCCCTCTAGTCACCAGAATGGAGGTGCACAGGCAGCGAGAGACCAATGAACACGTACAAAAAAAAAAGAATGTCCACACCTTTATCTCCGCAGTTCTGTCAGGTGTCCATGGCTGCTTTGAACCTTCCCCCACTTGGTCTCACCTAAGATGGTGGTTCCAGGATGTCTGAGTGCCTTGAATTAGAAAGCAATGCATTTCTTGCTTCTACTACCAATTCCCCTAGCTATAAGCCTTCCGACCTTCTAAATATTCCTTTATATGTGGTTCAGAGTTCTGGCACCATCCCCTGAGTCTGCTTGGACTGGTATTCTGTGTTGTTGGTGATGGAGCTCCTCACTGCACTTCTACCTGATCCACCATCTTGTTGGTTCTCAAATTTTGGTTCTTTTTTGATATATGTATTGCCATAAATTATCCTCTGAGCACTGCTTTTTCTATGTCCCCAAATTTTGGTAATTGTAGTTTCATTCTTATTTGATAAAAGGATTTTTAGAAAGTTTCGTATCTCTTGTGGCACAGGGGGTTAAATGTTGGGTTGTTAACTTCAAAGTCAGCAGTTCAAATCCACAAGCCACTCGATGATAGAAAGATGAGGTTATCAGTTCCCATAAAAATCTATTGTGTCAGAAGTCCTATGGAGCAGCTCTCATCTGTCCTATAAGGTGGCTATGAGTTGAAATCAGCTCAATAGCAGTAGGTGGGACTATCAGTATTTTTTAATCAGATTGTTATTTACTTTCCATGTATTTAATTTTTTTCCCTTGCTCTTTCTGTTATTGTTTTTCAATTTTATAACAATGTGGTCTGAGAAAATGCTTTGTATCTGGTTTTTATATTTTTTAATTTACTGAGGTTTGCTTTGTAGCTTAACATGTGGTCTATTCTGGAGACTGTTCTATGTGCGCTGGAAAAGATAGTGAATGTAGCTAGTACTCTAAATTGGTAAGTCAGAAGACTGCTTCTAGTGTGCCAGTTTATAAATGCACAGGTTTATTCCAAACAAACGTGGTTAAATATGCCTGTGGTCTGTGGATGGTGCAGACAAGTTCTCTCAGTAATACATCTATAATGCCCTTCCTTGTCTCTTTTGCTTGTTTTTTTGGTGTGTGTGCATTGTGTTTTTTTTGCCTTAAAGTCTATTTTATCAGGAATTAATATGATCACTCCTGCTCTTTTTTGTTGTTGTTGTTGCCATTTCCTTGATATATGTTTTTATATGCTTTGTTTTTAGCGTATTTTTCTGTTTGTGTCTATTGATGGATATTTTCTTATCCATTCTGCTTCTCTCTTGCTTCTTGACTGGTATGTTTAATCCATTTACATTCAATGTAGATATCAATAGATAGGACTGTGGTGTTGTTTTGTAGTGCTGATGATTTCTTTGTTCCATGTATGTTTTCTGTACTAAACTCACTTTATTTTTTAACTGTCTCATTTCCTTTTTAATTGTTGTTGCTTTGGTGTTGACTCAATCTTTATATGATTTTCTTCTTTTTTATTATAGTGAGAAGGTTTATTAACTCTCTTTGAGGTTGCCTGTAATTTATTAATATCTTCCCAGTTCAAAACAGTCAGTTTATTTTAGATGTTGTCTTGACTTCCTCTCCATTTAGAAGTTCTGTAACTATACTGTTTATTCACTCTTTTTGCTTTGCAGTTACATTGTCTCTGGTTCCCTATTTTAATCTTGTAGGTTTATTTTATTTTTTATTTGCCTATTCTTGGGTTGATTTCTGGGTGATGTAATTGTGTGTCATACTCTCAGGTAGTTATCTGCCAAAGCTTGTTCTCTGCCCAAAGTTGCTCAAATTCCCTTAATTTCTATTTATTTGGAAATATCCTAATTGCACCATTGTATTTGAGGGACAGTTTTACTGGATATATAAGTCTTGACTGGAAGTTTTTTTGTTTGTTTTTTTTCTTTTAGGGTTTTATATAGGAGGGTAAGTCAAAACTCATTACTACACAATCATAGAAGCCTTTATTAAACAAAAAAATAATCAAAATGTGCAGCTATTATTTCTCAACATCTCTGCCTTCTAGAGGTATATACTTCTGGAGACTGTTTCTATCTCTCTAACATTTCCCCAAAGACTTAGGTTCAAGAACTAATATGAAGGGGCAAGATCAGAGCTGTAGGGTGAATGGGGTAAGGTTTCCCAATGAAATTCTCTTAGGATAGCAGGTGCATGATTGTGATGGAACAAAAATTCCTTGGTGCAATTTTCCTAGCTTTTTTCTCACCAATGGAGTTTTCTTTACAGTTTTTCATAATAAGCCCCATCTTCATATAAGTATTAGTTTGTCACATTAATCTTTCTAAAACACAGTTGAGCTTATAACTCTTCTCAGCACAGAAATCATCTGTAGCTCTAGGTCACCTATACAATCAACCTTGAGCTCTTAGTTTGGCACAGAAGACCCTTCAGGAGCAAGTACTATATTTCCTGTCCAACCTTATTGTCCAAGACTACCAAAAATACATCCTCTCCTCAGGTCAGATTGTCTCTTCACTGCCCCAAAGACATACCAACCTCAGTTCTGTGACCCTTTTTTGTTTAGAATGCTTATTCTTTATCAGCAAATTCAATTAATCCTTCAAATCCTACATATCCAGTCAAGTCTCATTGCATGCCCATATTCTTCACTAAAATTTGAGCCCTCTCTCTTCTGAACTCTGTTAAAACAAAACATTTATTGCGTACTTACTCTATATACCACACACCACTGCTCTCTCCCAATCTGCCCATTCATCTATTAATTTTATGATTATTATTGTCTTCCCCTTCAAACAAAGTAACATGTGTCTACCTTCTAGACAGTGAATTGCTTCCCCCTTCTTTCCCACCTTTGTCTGTTAATTTTGTTGTTGTTGGTGGTGTGTGCTGTCAAGTTGGGTCTGACTCATAGCAACCCTGTATAAGGGTTCCGACCTTGTATAAAGGTTCGAATCAACCTTGCAGTGTAGTGCATTAACCCACAGCATCACACCAGGTGAGGAAAATGAGGCTCAGAAAAGTAGAGTAACTTAATCATAAAACGAGGAAAGACAGAGACAGGATTCAAATCAGATCTGTCTGAGCCTATGGTGATGCTCTTTCTAGTATCTCACTGATGTGGAATTTATTTGAATTGGAAAACCCAGAGCCATCTCCCTTTTTCATTTAAATGGCCACCCCATTGCTGAAGCAGGTCATTGTCCTAAAGGCCTCAGATATTGTTCTTTCAGACTAGGGTGGATGGTTCAGCTGGGCTCCTAGCTTCGTTGTGCAAGAGAGACCTCCACTGCATCTTCTCACTGTTCTGCTTCCATACCCAACTCTCAGGGAGATGGCCTCCTCAGGAGTCTACAGGATGGATGATGGGAAACCTTACCTGAACAACTGCTTTCCTGCCAAGAACCTGCTTCGGATGCCTGAGGAAGGTCAGGTGACTTCCCTATTTGTAACCTTTCCCTCACACCTAGCTCATGCTTTAAAATCTCCCACACCCATTCCTTCCTTTCCTAACCCTTTATTACTTTTGCCTGTGCCAGCCAGTTTTATCTCCCCTAACACATCTTCCCACAGTGAGCTTTCCAAAGAGTGTATTTGACCATAGTGTTCACTTGTGTTCTGGAACTCCTCATTGCTGTCTCTTTATTGCTGACCCCTCAACCTGGCTTTCTATGTTGTTCTTATCTTTCACTATAGTCAAGTAATTTATGTCATGTTCCATAATGTTTTATTTTCATTTAGCTTTTTTTTACTTACCCAGAGTATACCAGCTCTCATTCCAGTTAGCTAAGTCATTCCCATCCAAAAAAAGCCCAGCTCTTCCCTCACTTATTCTAAAAAGTCATTACTGACTAACCCAGCCCACAGGCCATCTTCATTTGTGATGTGTCACCCTCTCTGTGTCTCATAAATAAAATGCCTTAAACTCTTAAGGATTGCTCTACAAAGTAGTTTATTAAATCATGATATCTAGTTTAAAAACTCCCCTGGGTCAAGAACTCTTAATAACACTAAACAGAGTCCTATAAGTGGAGTATTGTCTATAAGTATGGTTCATACTTAAGAAGCAAGAGCAAGATCACCTTGCAAAGCTGGAAACCAAGTAGAAGGTTTGGTAGTTAGAAAATATGGCCTTGGTGAAAGAAATGATGCTGGAAACTGCATGATAGAGTTTTGCAAGATTTCATTGCAAATACCTTTTCTCAACAACATAAAAGGTAACTAAATACATGGACCTTACCAAATAGAATACACAGGAATCAAATTGACTACATCTGTGGAAAGAGACCATGGAGAAGCTCAATATCATTGGCCAAAGCAAGGCCAGGAATCAACTGTGGAACAAACCATCAATTGCTCATATGCAAGTTCAGGCTGAAGCTGAAGAAAATTAAAACATGTCCATGAGAGCTGAAATATGACCTTGATTATGTTGTGTTCTGTGCCATCAAGTCGGTTCTGACCCATGGCAACCCTATATAGAGTTTCCAAGGAGTGGCTAATGAGCTTGAACCACCAACCTTGCAGTTCATACCAACTTTTCAGTCCAACGTATTAACCCATAGCACTACACCAGGACTCCAACCTTATTCCACCTGAGTTTAGATACCATCTCAAGAACAGATTTGGTTCATTAGACTAATAACTGAAGACTGGAAGAGTGAGGGGTGACATCAAGAACATGATACGTGAAAAAAAGCAAAAGGTCATTAAAAAGACAGGATAGAAAGAAAAGCCCAAAATGGATGTCAAAAGAGACACTGAAACTTGCTCTTGAGCATAGAGAAGCTAAAGCACCTGGAAGAAATGATGAAGTAAAAGGCCTGAACAAAAAATTTCAAAGGACAGCTCAAGAAGACAAAGTAAGGTATTACAATGAAATGTGGAGTTAGAAAACCTTTAAAAGGTAAGAACACATGTAGCTTTTCTCAAGCTGAAAGAACTGAAGAAAAAAATTCAAGCTCAAGTTGCAATACTGAAGGATTCCATTGGCAACATATTGACAAATGTAGAAAGCATCAAAAGAAGATGGAATACACAGTCACTGTACCAAAAAGAATTGGTCAATGCTCAGCCATTTCAAAAGGTAGTATATGATCAAGAACAGATAGTATTGAATGAAGAAGTCCAAGCTGCACTAAAGTCACTGAGGGAAAACAAGGTTTCAGGAACTGGTGGAATACAAATTGAAATGTTTTAACAAATTGATGCAGTGCTTGAGGTCCTCACTTGTCTATGCTGAGAAATTTAGAAAGCCGCTACCTGGCCAATCAATTTCACAAGATCTTTAGTTGTGTGCATCCCAAAGATAGGTGACCCAATGGAATTCAGAAATCATTGACCAATATCATTAATATCACATGCAAGTAAAATTTTGTTGAAGCTGATTCAAAACAGTTGCAGCAGTACATTGTTAGGGAGCTGCCAGAAACTCAAGATGGATAAGAGGACAGAGAGTTAGGGATATCATTGCTGATGTCAGATAGATCTTCACTGAAAGCAAAGAAACCCAGAAAGATGTTTAGTTATGCTTTATTGACTATGTAAGCACTTTGAACTGTGTGGATCATGATAAACTTGGATAACATTGCAAAGAATGGGGATTCCAAAACACTTCATTGTACCATGAGGAACCTGTACATATATCAAGTCGTAGTTGTTTGAACAGAACAAGGGGATACAGAATAGTTTAAAGTCAGGAAAGGTGTATGCCAGGTTTATATTCTTTCATCATAATTAGTCTGTATGCTTGAACAAATAATCTGAGAAATTAGATTATAATAAGAATAATGTAGCATCAGGATTTAAGGAAGACTCATTAACAATCTGTAATACACAGATGATGCACCTTGCTTGCTGGAAGCAAAAAGGACGTAAGCTTCTTACTGATGAAGATCAAAGGCTACAGCCTTCAATATGGATTGTACTTCAGTGTAAAAAAACAAAAATCCTCACAACTGAAGCAATAAATAACACTGATTAAAGGATAAAAGATTGAAGTTTTCAAAGATTTCATTTTGCTTAGATCCACAGTCTACATTTATGGAAGCAGGAGGGAAGAAATCAAACAACGTATTGCATTAGGCCAATCTGCTGCAGAAAACCTTTTTAATATATTAAAGAGCAAAGATATCATTTTGAGGACTAAGGTGTGCCTGACCCAAGTTATGATATTGTCAATTGCCTCATATGTATGGGATAGTTGGACAATAAATAAGGAAGACTGTAGAAGAATTGACACATTTAAATTATGGTGTTGGAGTAGAATATTGACTATGAGAAGAACAAGCAAATCTGTATTAGAAGAAGTACAACCAGAATGCTTCCTAGAGCAAGAATGGCAAGGCTTTGTCTCTCATACTTTGGGCATATTATCAGAAGGGGCCAGTCCTTGGAGAAGGATATCATGCTTGAAAAAGTGGAGGATCACCAAAAAAAAGAGGAAGACCCACAATGAGATGGATTGGCATGGTGGTGGTGGTTATGTGCCATGGAGTCGGTTCCCACTCATAGCGACCCTGTACAGGGTTTCCAAGGCTGTAAATCTTTACAGGAGCAGAAAACCTCATCTTTCTCCCACAGAACAGCTGGTAGTTTCAAACTGCTGACCTTGTGGTTTGCATACCGATTTGTAACCACTACGCTACCAGAGCTCCTATGGATTGGCATAGGGCAGCAATAATGAGCTCAAACATGACAACAATTTTGAGCATGGTGCAGGACTGAGCAGTGTTTTGTCCTATTAGGCACTGGTTCACTATGAGTTGGAACCTACTCAGTAGTACCTAACAACAATTCTCTTATCTTTCTCTTTTTCTTCTTCCTTCTCCCTAGTTTTATTTATTGTGAGGTTTTTGTTTTTTCTTTATCAGGTTTATTTCCTTTCCCTTCTTTTTCTTATTAGTTATTATATTCTTTAGTTATTTTCTTATTGCTTTTTGGTATTGTTTGTTTGACTTGTGTGTGTGTTCTTTTTGTCCCACCCTATGTAAGACTGTACCAATGCCCATATAGTTCAGCCACAACCATACCCTCTGCATGCTCAACCAATGGACAAGAGCCACTGCCAGCTCCTATAAAACCTAATCAGTAATGAACAGCAGACAACACCAGCCAAACCCACTGCGAACTGTGCTAAACAACAGTGAACAGAGAACTGGGTAAATGCTTCCATTCTCTATCAAACTCACAAGGAGGCAGGAGGTGAGTGTCTAAGATCATACACACATACAATAATCAATTAAATGCAAATACAGTGACACCACAATGTCTGAAAAACAATACACAGTTTCAGTTCACACTAAGAAATAAGACAGAGTGGCTCAAACAAGTGACCAAAATACAGAGCCAGATAATGTTTCTGAGGAAGAAAAGGTGTACTGTAACCTGATAAAAACTTCAAAAGAATGATAATTAAGATACCTTAAGTGGACTGAGAGAACAACTGAGAAAGCTGCAGATGGAAGCAAGGAGCATTAAGAAAAAACTTTAGAGAATTCAGGAAAATACTGTAAGAACAAATTATAAAGTAAACGAAAAATTGTAACCACAAAAACAGCCAGTAGAAATCCAGAAAAGGAATACTAAAAGTTTAGAAATGAATAATTCATTGACAGGTCAAAGGAGTAAATTTGAATCAATGGAAGACCAAATCAATGAGCTTGCAGACAAATGTGTCACTACTAATCTGCTAGAAAAAGAAATCAGAAAAACAGAAGGAAAAAACCCAAGGAAAGCCTAAGAGGAATAACTTACCTATGATAGAAATTTCAGAACAGAAAGAGACAAACAAAACAAAACACAGAGTTGTTGGAAGAAAACTTCTCTAACATCATGAGAGACAAAAAGATAGCATTCAAGAAGTCTAATGAACCTCAAACAGTATAGACACCAGAAGAAAATCACTAAGGCATATTATAATCAAACTGTCTCCAAAACCAAAGACAAGGAAAGAATCCTGAGAACAGCTCAGGAAAAATGAAAAGTTACCTACAAAGGAGTACTAATAAGACTAAACTCTGATTTCTCAGCAGAAACCATGCAGGCAAGAAGACAGTGGAATGACATATAGAAAACTCCAAAAGAAAAAAATTACCACCTAAGAATCTTATACTCAGAAAAATCCTCTTTCAAATACAACAGCAAAATCAGGACATTTCCAGAGAAACAGAAATTAAGGGAATTTATAAAAACCAGACCAACTTTACAAAAAAAAAACCCCAAAACAAACTAAAGGGAGTTCTTTGAACAGAAAAAACACACAACAACAACCTAAGCTTAACACACTTGACAACACCATCCAGAAGTGTTTCCAGATATACAAGTATACAAAGTAAAATAAATCTAAAGACTGACAACCAGAAACCAGAGATATCAATTTATATGAAGACAGCTAAAAAGCAGTAAGAGGATATAGGGTAGGCACAGA